ATGTCGATGAAGGAGGTCGATGAACAAATGCTAAATATACAACAAAAAAACAGTAGTTTCTTTGTAGAGTGGATTCCAAACAATTGCAAAACTGCTGTGTGTGATATTCCACCACGTGGCTTAAAGATGTCTGCCACGTTTATAGGCAACACTACTGCCATTCAAGAACTATTCAAACGCATTTCCGAACAATTTACAGCCATGTTTAGGCGCAAGGCCTTCTTACATTGGTACACAGGTGAAGGAATGGATGAAATGGAATTCACTGAAGCCGAAAGTAGCATGAACGATTTGGTATCAGAATATCAGCAATATCAAGAGGCCACCGCGGAGGAGGAGGGTGAATTCGACGAGGATGAGGAAGGCGGAGCTGATGAATAATGTTCATATCGCGCTTCGCAATTACATTTCAAACATTTTTATCAATTATTCATTTTGGTTAGTGCAGAAGCTTCCACATTTTTAAAACTAATCACTGGATAAAGTGTAGGCACAGTCTTTATATGCGATGTAGTATAGGAGAAGTGTACATATTGTCCACACTTGCACACGAAGTGCATCACATCTATTTTTGATAACTTAATATATGTAATCGAATTTAATAAAAGCTCTATTTTAAAAAAAATCCCTACCGAAGAAATAATATTAAAACGATTTGGCAAAAGATATGAAAGGCAAACATCGATTAGGCGGCCCTAATTTGACTTGGATGTGTTTTTGAGGCATATTTGACGTTGAACTTGAATTTTTTGATTATTTCATTACTGTTGCTGCAGCAACATCGAATATGAATTTTTAAGGCTATCTAATGAATTATGCTGCAAGCGTTTCAGGTGAATACGCCGCGCGTCCGAAAATCTTCATTTATCGGAGGATCAGAATGAATCGACGACCGGCAATTGTTAAACGTTTAGCGATCCCGGTATGCCTTGTGCCTAGCGGAATAATTCTCAACTGCACAATTTCCCGCGAGGGAATTTTTGCGGGAAAATGAGTAGACGGTGGTTTTTTCATTTTTTAAGAAAGAAAAAATAAAATTTTTGGGGGGTGTCAGTTCTGTTATGAGTGCTGACACTATTAAATTTTTTTGAATTGTAAGAAAAAAGAGAAAAGAAAAAATTTTAAAATAAAAAGAATGAATGGTTTTTTGTAATGTGGGCGGTTTTTTTGCGGACCCGGATGAGCGGACATGCTTATCTTCTCAACATACACAACTTTTAAATTACGATTAATCACTTCCGGATGCACAGACATTCTGTAAGAAACAACAGGAAGCATTACTCGTCTCACAACGAAGGATCATAGTCCAACGTAAGTTCAATAAACAAATAGGCCACCAGTACCATTCTTCTATCTTATTAAGCGGCTTATAAGCAACTTTTATATTACATATATATTTTTAGATTTCCGACTATTTAACATCCTCAACGAACCAACCATCAATTTCACTTAAGTGATTTACTATAAAAAATTGCGAGCAAGCATTGATTGCGCTTTGCCTTGGCTTGGCTTGGCGTCTTCCTGCTTTTCTATATAACAACATCTTTTAATCAAGTCTTCTTGTCAAGCGCATTTTTTTACAAATATCTTTATGGTGTAAAATTTGCAAAATATCCTTAACCATAAATTTACACGGAGGATTTAAAATAGACCGATGTTTTCATTTTCAATGTAAATATTTAAGTTAGGTCTCCGACTTTTTGTTAGTGAAGTGTACGTGCCCGGATTGCAAATCTATTAAATCATACCGAAACTTCTGCCTAAAACGTTATGTGATTCACATTTGTAAGATGGGACGTATTTTCATTAGGTGAACGAATTTTCGCAGGATTGACATGTCATTTATCCAAGCCACTACATTTTCATTTCGATTTCTTCCGTAAATCCACAATTACTTTTCATAGAATTCCTTGTAAATTAAATTAAGTTTTTGTTGTTGCTATTCAAAATTATTTACAGAGAATACTACCTTGTAAAATTCTCAAAGTGTTTTTTGGTGCTTATATCATAGTAGCTTTGCTTGAAAAATTGAAAAATAAGAAATTTCTTCCGTAACGAAAAACGAAATTTATATTAAACGTTTTTCGTAAGCCTTTCCAATTAGATGTGCTTAGAACTCTTGAAAAATAAAAAATCTAACCTTTTTTTAAAGAAAAAATAAAACAACGTATAAAGGAGTCCATTTTGCTGTAAAAATATATATTCAGCAATGACGCGGGCTCCTTTATACGTTTTTTTATTTTGATAAATAATAAATAATAAAATAAATAAATAATAATAAACAAACAAATAATAAAAATAATAAATAATAATAAATTTTCTTCTATCTTAGAAGGAAATAAACTTTATTCTATCTTGCTATTACTTGTCTACAAAAAGAATAAAAGCAAATTAGGAAATGCGTGAAATTGTGCATATACAAGCTGGCCAATGTGGAAATCAAATTGGTGGAAAATTTTGGGAGGTTATATCTGATGAGCATTGCATAGACGCCACTGGAACGTATTATGGTGACAGTGACTTGCAATTGGAACGCATTAATGTCTACTACAATGAGGCGACAGGAGCCAAATATGTACCGCGAGCTATATTGGTAGATTTGGAACCGGGTACAATGGATTCGGTTCGATCGGGTGCGTTTGGACAAATTTTCAGACCCGATAACTTTGTATTCGGGCAATCGGGAGCCGGTAACAATTGGGCAAAAGGTCATTACACAGAAGGTGCAGAGTTAGTCGACTCAGT